CAGCAGTAGAAAGCAAGCAGTGACGGCAGCAGCAGTAGAAAGCAAGCAGTGACGGCAGCAGCAGTAGCAAGCAAGCAGTGATGGCAGCAGCAGTAGAAAGCAAGCAGTGACGGCAGCAGCAGTAGCAAACGAGCAGTGATGGCAGCAGCAGTAGCAAGCAAGCAGTGATGGCAGCAGCAGTAGCAAGCAAGCAGTGATGGCAGCAGCAGTAGCAAGCAAGCAGTGATGGCAGCAGCAGTAGCAAGCAAGCAGTGATGGCAGCAGCAGTAGCAAGCAAGCAGTGATGGCAGCAGCAGTAGCAAGCAAGCAGTGATGGCAGCAGCAGTAGCAAGCAAGCAGTGATGGCAGCAGCAGTAGCAAGCAAGCAGTGATGGCAGCAGCAGTAGCAAGCAAGCAGTGATGGCAGCAGCAGTAGCAAGCAAGCAGTGATGGCAGCAGCAGTAGCAAGCAAGCAGTGATGGCAGCAGCAGTAGCAAGCAAGCAGTGATGGCAGCAGCAGTAGCAAGCAAGCAGTGATGGCAGCAGCAGTAGCAAGCAAGCAGTGATGGCAGCAGCAGTAGCAAGCAAGCAGTGATGGCAGCAGCAGTAGCAAGCAAGCAGTGATGGCAGCAGCAGTAGCAAGCAAGCAGTGATGGCAGCAGCAGTAGCAAGCAAGCAGTGATGGCAGCAGCAGTAGCAAGCAAGCAGTGATGGCAGCAGCAGTAGCAAGCAAGCAGTGATGGCAGCAGCAGTAGCAAGCAAGCAGTGATGGCAGCAGCAGTAGCAAGCAAGCAGTGATGGCAGCAGCAGTAGCAAGCAAGCAGTGAAGGCAGCAGCAGTAGCAAGCAAGCAGTGACGGCAGCAGCAGTAGCAAACAAGCAGTGAAGGCAGCAGCAGTAGCAAGCAAGCAGTGACGGCAGCAGCAGTAGAAAGCAAGCAGTGATGGCAGCAGCAGTAGAAAGCAAGCAGTGATGGCAGCAGCAGTAGAAAGCAAGCAGTGATGGCAGCAGCAGTAGCAAACAAGCAGTGATGGCAGCAGCAGTAGCAAGCAAGCAGTGATGGCAGCAGCAGTAGCAAGCAAGCAGTGATGGCAGCAGCAGTAGCAAACAAGCAGTGATGGCAGCAGCAGTAGAAAGCAAGCAGTGACGGCAGCAGCAGTAGCAAGCAAGCAGTGATGGCAGCAGCAGTAGCAAGCAAGCAGTGATGGCAGCAGCAGTAGCAAGCAAGCAGTGATGGCAGCAGCAGTAGAAAGCAAGCAGTGATGGCAGCAGCAGTAGAAAGCAAGCAGTGATGGCAGCAGCAGTAGCAAGCAAGCAGTGATGGCAGCAGCAGTAGCAAGCAAGCAGTGATGGCAGCACAGTAGAAAGCAAGCAGTGATGGCAGCAGTAGTAGCAAGCAAGCAGTGATGGCAGCACAGTAGAAAGCAAGCAGTGATGGCAGCAGCAATAGAAAGCAAGCAGTGATGGCAGCAGTAGTAGCAAGCAAGCAGTGACGGCAGCAGTAGTAGCAAGCAAGCAGTGACGGACCGACCAGAAGCAACAGCAGCAAACAGCCCCAACAGAAGCAACAGCAGCAGAAGGGTGTGTTTTAACATGACCAAACTGCATAGGGAAGGGAGAGAGGGGAAAGGTTTGGATAGCGAGGGGTGAGTGGACCCCGTGACGGGAGGGAGCAAGGGAAGTGAGGAGTGGGCAGCGGTTGCGAGCCCAGGAGCAAGGGAAGGTAAAGGCCGAAACACATTGGGTGGTGCTTTTCAGTCTTAGTTGACGCTGCATCCACACAGATACCCATAGCCTGGTGCTTTGCTGCCATGCCATCATGATGGCCACCAGCCAGTCCAGCACTCGCATGATGAAGCATGAGAAGCTGGTGATTTCTGCCATGCTCTCCAATCCTAAGTCGTTTTGAACAAGCAGCGGCAGTAGCAACGTAGCAACGCGAGAGGACGGGCCGCGGTGACGAACGAGAGGCGTGATTTTCTCAGCGCGCGCGCTTCTTGGCAGCCTCGCTTGCCGCCTGCTCCGCTGAGCCCGACAAGAACGGCACGCATGACATTTCACCTAGTTTGAAACTAATGGCGGTAATTTAAACGACCGCGAAAGGCTCCCGTCGAACGAGGATTTAAACCACGCCGCTAAGCCCAGGCCGTCGTCTGGCGGTGGCTGTCGTAACCATTTCGCATGCATAGGATCACGTTCATTATTAACGCAAGATTTGTACGACTACTACTTACTAATACTGGTGCTACTACCGCTGTCGACGGTGTGTGATGAGTGTGATTAGCGGAAGTCGGTGCCTTTTCAGAGAACGAGAAAGCGGGCTTTGAATGATACTATTATCTACTACTAGCTAATACGACGAAGTGCTACTGCTACTAGCGACGGTGGTGCGATAAAGCTGATGTGGGGGAGGGGGTCGGCTCCTCAGCGGAAAGGATAAGTGTGGATGGATCTGAGGCAGCGTTTGCTCCCTCTTTTGTTTCTGAAACCCTGACTCGGTGCACACGGTTCAGAACGGTAAAACATTTTTCCAAGTGTTTTAGGCGCGCGCACTGTGTTAATCGTGAAATTTTCTGTAGACAGACACATGTACCGCGCCCTGAATCTCGTAATCCCTTCTGAAGCTCGCGAATCGTGAACCGTCAGATTGCAGCAGACGACCACCCGTGCTCGCAAATCAGCAGGGGTGCGAGTGGTGGGAGGGATACAGTTCACTCTGTACACTTGGGAAGGTGAGGGTGTGTGAAAATGATGTGGCACGATCCAGGCCGTTGAAAATTTTGGTCTGTATTCAGCAGTGAAATCCGCATTGGCCTGCTGAAGTCTTGCTCCAGCATTCCACGAATGGGGGAGTGTGGTGGGGACCTTTGGATACCATTCTTTTTGCTCAAACATTTTCCCTAAACCGCTGTGTAACGTACCGAAACCCCTGAATATCGATTTTCGTGTCGGTGCGTTGCCATGCCAGCAAATAGTGACGTTTGATCAACCCACCTGGTGCTCGCCCAGCCTTTGGTTTCTGGGCGGAACCAGCCTTTGGTTTGTACTGTAGACGGCTTGGATGTAAATATATGCCGTCACAGCACCGTCTGGTGTTTTGCATCCCAGGGTTTTTTTTCGCCACTCCTTGCATTTTTAAGCACGAGATTTGGCCCCTTCCCAACTCCACCCTCAAGCCTTTTCGTTCTCTGGGCGGAAGGCGAGCCTCAAGCTCAGCAGCAGGTTCAAAAACAAAACGAATGGGCATGGGTTTTTGCGCTTGGGGTGGGTTGCCAGCGTAGGCGCTTACGACTGCTGGGCAATGCAGGTGTGCCCGAACTGTAGCGAGTGTCCGCCACCCAGCCCAACCCCTCCTACCCTGCTTGTTTCTTCACTGTACATGACGGCTAGGAACTGTTTGAGCTTGAAGCTCGACTCTGCACAAACAGGTGAACACTCCGTAGGGCGCGGTACATTCTCCCGCTTGAAGCATTTGTCGCGTATCGATTCACTCCGCTAGGCTAAACATTTTTGAAACAGTTTGACCGTTCTCAACTGAGAGATAAGAACTCGGGTTTCACAAACCACGTCTGCAATGAAACACTCCCCGAACTTGACCCCAGATTCACCACAACACTTCCACCAAAGCACCCGCTCACATCACCTTCATTGCGCCACCTAGCACCACCCCTCGCCAGCTCGTCGTAGTAGCACTAGTAGCACCAGTAAACTCGTAATGTAGGGTGTATGTATTTCGCACCAGTCCCTTGGCCACTCTGCAAAGCACGATCGGTGTTTTGCTAAAACAAATTTTGTTTCGCCACTCTGCTTGCCTTTTGACTGAGATGACGCCCGAAAACTGAAGCTATTTGTTTAACCCGGTAGTGATTTCCACCCGGTAGGTCGACAAAGCAGATTCGCAAATCGTGAGTGTATTATTTCTCGCCTCATTTGTGACCTCACCCACCCAGCCGTACTCGCACTGTACTGCCGCAGTGCTCGTCGACGAGAAACGCCAAAACCTGATCGAGCCCGTCCTGTCTGTTCTGCGCAGACTGGATGGTTCGTGCGAGCTTCACAGAGGGCTGTGCTTGGTACAGTTGGGCAATGGGCAGTTCAACCCCAGGCGCAGTCCACGTGTCCCGTCGGCTGAGCCATTCCATTCAGCGCGCTTGGCTGAAACGGTCGAAAACGGTTACACAGTTTTCAACCGTGTGGAAAATATCGGTTCACAGAACAAAGGGAGCAAGCCAACGCTGCCTGCCAAGATCCGATTCCTTCGTTCACTACAGTGATCCACCCTCTCACTTCAGCCTTATACCACCACCCACCCACCCTCCATAGCCCATCATTGTTAGTACGGTAGCAGTAGTATAATTGCACTAGTCGCTAGCAGAATTAGTAGTAGTATAGCAGGTACTAGTAGTACTTGTGGCACTTCGCGTCGACTCAGTCGCTACTATTATTGGTTCATTCGCGTAACTTAAACGCCAGCGTTTCCTATCGAGTATTTTGTGTCGCGCTGTTAGGTTTGTTTCCATGAGTTGGAAATTTAGGTTTCCGAAAACAAGGCGCCCTAGTACTAGCAGTAGCAGCGAGCAGTAGTAGTCGCAGCCCTTATTTGCCCGTTTGGACTGATATACGCGCTCATGTGGCGTTTCCTCGCTGTCGCTGATCTAATATACCTAAAGTGTCGCTCGTTAGCTCGCTGTCGCTGATCTAATATATCTAAATAGCGGCGACGGCGGAGAGAGCGGGCGGGGATGGGGGGGAGGGCGGGGCTGGTGTGCGGGGAGGCGGAAGCGACGGTGTGGTTGCCGGGGGTGGCGGAGCGGCGGGAGCGGGTGACGGAGGCGGAGGGGGGAGCGGGCGCGGGGACGAGGAGCTGCTGTGCCCCAACTGCCGCGCGCCCCTCTCGCTCCTCTCTTTCCCCGCGCTTGCCTTCCCCCATTCCCCCTCCTCCCCGTCCGCGTCCGCGCTATCTCCGCCCATGTCCGCGGCGGAGGCGCGCACGAGCGGGCGCGCGGTGCTGTTCTGCCGCCAATGCCAGCGATTCACCGACAGGCCGGTGGCGAGAGGGACAGGGGAGGCGGAGAATGGGCGGAAGGGGAAAGAAGAGGGGCAGCCGCAGGTGACGGCGGAAGGGCAGTGCGCAAGCGGGGGGAAGGGGGAAGGATTGGGGAAGGGCAAGGCCGGGGGGGGGGCGCGAGAGTGGGGGAGTTTGTGGAGGCGGACTGGTATGAAGCGGACTGGAAACATGTCTCCCCCCTTTCCGCCGTCACTCCCCCCGAGCCCCCCGCCTCTGACGCGTGGCAGTGGTCCCGCTTTGGGCGGCAACTTAGCCGCCAAGACGGCCGCCCGGGCGGCAGGTCTGCGCGCAGCGAGCTGGACGGGATGATGGGCGGGGCGAGCGGGGGGGAAGGGGGGAGCGCGCGGAGGGATGCGCGGGAGGAGTATGTGAATCGGTTCAAGGCGAGTTTGCAGGGGTGGGGGGGGCACCCGTGGGCGCAGGGACAGGGGCAGCAGGGGCAGGGACAGGCAGGCGCGGGGGGAGAAAAGAAAGCGCAAAGGCAGGGGCAGGGGCGGAGTGAGGGGCAGCAGGTGGGCAGCAGCGGAAGGAATAGAAGCCCTGGCGGTGGCGGAAGCAGCGCCAGCGCGTATCCCCCTAGCTTCTCCTCCCCCCTCCTGCACGCCCCCAGAGGCCCCCCCGCCCCGCCTCCGCCCCCGTCCCCCCTGGCCGCGCCCACGCAGATCCCCCCCGCGCCTGGCGCGGGTGCGGGGGAGAAGCGGGGGAGGGGGCAGCAGAGCGGGGGAGGGGAGGGGAGGGAGGGGCGGGAAGGGCGGGAAGGGCGAGAGGGGAGGGAGGGGCATGTGCCGTGTTTTGGGGCGGCAGGGGGAGGGGAGGACGGGACAGAGCACAACTGGGGAGGGGCGAATCTGGGGAGAATCTGCCCACGCCCAAGCAGATCCGGGCAGCTCTGGATGAATTTGTGATCGGGCAGGATAATGCGAAAAAGGTGAGCGGGTGCTGGTGACGTGGCAGTTACTGTTAGGCTGGTGGTGTAACAGGTTTACAGTCACAGACTCGCTAAGAGCAGTATTTTTTCTTCTTCTTTTGATTTTATTTGTAACCGAATGTTTGCAGTGGCGGTGGTGTACCCACTACGAGCGCATCTTCTCTATAAGCTCATTTCGTTACGAGCCCTTTCCGATCCCCGTATGCTACCCTTTGCTGCAGGTTTTGGCAGTGGCAGTTTACAATCACTACAAGCGCATCTTTCTTGAAAACCAGAAGCGGGAAAGACTTGCCAACCTGCCAGAGGGGTGAGAAGGGGTAAAAAAAAGGCGAGAGGAGGTTCAGAGGGGTGAGAGGGGGAGGAGAGGAAGTGGGAGAGGGGCTGTGTGCTGTGTGTGGTGAGGGATGGAGAGGGAGAGGAAATGTTCTTTAAAGTGATTCAAGCAAGGATTAAGAGGGAGAGGGAGAGGGAGTGACCGGTCATCTACCTGAACGATCCCCTTTTCTACACCTCACATGGGGGAAAGAGATTAGGCTTGCTCCACATTTTGCCCACTGTCCGCCCTCCCTCACTCACTCACTTCTGTTCTTGCTCACCCCCATGGTGGATAAGAGCAACGTGCCCCTCACTCCCTACCCTCTCCCTATGCCCCCCGTCGCCCTCTCTTCCACCTCTCTTCCCCCCTGCAGGGCGTGCGAGAACCTGGTGGGGGGCGGTGAGGAGGACGAGGTGGAGGTGGAGAAGAGCAACGTGCTGCTGATGGGTCCCACGGGTTCAGGTGGGTGCAAGAATCACCACTGCAGCATACGGGGGGCAGGGCCGCATGGGAGCAGCGGAATAGCATAGGGTAGGGCAAGCATGGGACGAGGTGCAGGTGGGGAAGAGCAACGTGGTGCTCATGGGAGGGACCCACAGGCTCTGGTGGGTGGGTGGTTGGATGCAGCCCATCGGAAGCAGTAGGTGTTTGGACGGGTTCAGGCGTCGTGTCGTCTCAAAACTCGATGGGCCCGACTGACTGACACATGGGTCCCTCGCACGGGCCCCGATCATGTCGCTCGCATACAGCTGTTCAGGTACTATCGCCTGTCAAGCAAGGGCTGCCCAGAGGGTTTATTGGAGGGAAGATTTTAACAGGCTCATGAATGCGTGTATGCGTTCTTGCCTTCCTGTCGCCCAGCGGTCTCATGAGCAACGTGCTTCTCATCTCGCTCACGCGTGTGTCTCTCTCCACTCAACTTATCCCACTCCCCACCTGTCAACTCACCTTATCGGCTCCACTCCATCCGCCCACTCCCTACCCGCTCCGCGCCTGTCCGGCCTGTGATGGCAATGTGGTCAACATCCCAGGCCACTCCCTACCTTATTCTTTGCGGGCGGTATTTCAACCGCTGCTGTCCCTTGGGTGCAGTGCATGCAGGCAAGACCCTACTGGCCAAGACTCTGGCGCGGTTTGTCAACGTGCCATTCGCCATTGCTGATTTTTGAGTCGACTCAAAAAAGTCCCCTCCCCCCACACACTGGTGGGTGACTATCCCCTCCCCCCCCCCAACGCGTGCAGGCAAGACCCTACTGGCCAAGACTCTGGCTCGGTTTGTCAACGTGCCATTCGCCATTGCTGATTTTTGAGTCGACTCAAAAAAGTCCCCTCCCCCCACACACTGGTGGGTGACTATCCCCTCCCCCCCCCCAACGCGTGCAGGCAAGACCCTACTGGCCAAGACTCTGGCTCGGTTTGTCAACGTGCCATTCGCCATTGCTGATGCCACCACTCTCACTCAGGTGCGCCTTTAACGAGGTGACTCTTAATTGACTCAAAGGCCACTCTCACCCAGCTGCGTCTCATACCGCCACTCTCATCAACTTCCACACCCAGCTGCGTCTCATACCGCCACTCTCATCAACTTCCACACCCAGCTGCGTCTCATACCGCCACTCTCATCAACTTCCACACCCAGCTGCGTCTCATACCGCCACTCTCATCAACTTCCACACCCAGCTGCGTCTCATACCGCCACTCTCATCAACTTCCACACCCAGCTGCGTCTCATACCGCCACTCTCATCAACTTCCACACCCAGCTGCGTCTCATACCGCCACTCTCATCAACTTCCACACCCAGCTGCGTCTCATACCGCCACTCTCATCAACTTCCACACCCAGCTGCGTCTCATACCGCCACTCTCATCAACTTCCACACCCAGCTGCGTCTCATACCGCCACTCTCATCAACTTCCACACCCAGCTGCGTCTCATACCGCCACTCTCATCAACTTCCACACCCAGCTGCGTCTCATACCGCCACTCTCATCAACTTCCACACTCAGCTGCGTCTCTCTGATTCTCAGGTTGGATACAGCCTGGTTTCCACACTCTTTCACACGGGAGAGTTCACCAGTATGGTTAACCAGTAGGGTTAACTCTCCCGTGTCATGGTATGCCACTTAGGGAGTGCGTGACAAGGGGCATATTATTACTATCACCGTTGCTCTTGAGCCAATTCCCACACGATGACTCGTGATTCGCCTCAAAGGTCACTTCGTTACAGTGGCATGCAGGACAACGGGCTTTCTACTAGAACTGTGTTTCCTGAGCCAACGCTCACCTATTTCTCATTCTCTGGTGCTGTTTGTCGTGCAGGCTGGTTATGTGGGAGAGGACGTGGAGATGATTCTCTATAAGCTGCTGCAGGTGAGGGACAGAAGGGGTTGTTGGGGTTGGGACAGGGAGTGGGGGGTGGGGGGGTTATGTTATGTTAGTGTTTCTGCTCCTCGTGCAGGCGGGGTATGTGGGAGAGGACGTGGAGATGATTCTCTATAAGCTGCTGCAGGTGAGGGGGTTTGGAAGAGGTGAGACGGGTCAGTAGAGGTGTTAGCTTGTCGTGCAGAGGACGCGGAGATGATATTTTACAAGTTGCTGCACCTACAAGTGGAGGTGAGGGTAGGGGTTGCTGCACCCGGGTCCCAACCCCGGGTGGCTTCACGTAGCTCAACTGCTCCTTACAAGTTACATTCATTTTGCTCCTGATGTGCATGCTTGCATGTTCATGACTATCTGTTCTGTGTGTGATTCCCATGGTGGTGTGTGTGTGTGCGTGACTGTCCATTTGTCTTACGCAGAGCGCCAATTTCAGTGTGTCAGCAGCGCAGCAGGGCATCGTGTATATCGACGAGATCGACAAGCTTACCAAGAAGGTGGGCTCGCTAGCAGCACTAGCGGCACTAGCTGCACGGGCACTAGGAGATGCAACCCCCCCCCACTAAAGCAGCAGCGCAGCAGGGATCGTGTATATCGACGAGATCGACAAGCTTACCAAGAAGGTAGGCTTGCTAGCAGCACTAGGGGCACTAGCGGCACTGGCGCTAAGTAGGTGCTCCCCACCCCACCAGAGCAGCAGCGCAGAAGGGCATTGTAAACATAGATGAGATTGACACGCGCACTAAAAACATGAGCTTAATCTGGACAGCCCCCGCTCTCCCCTCTGTGCGTGCCTGGACAGGCAGAGGGCATCACGAGCACACGGGACGTGTCAGGGAAAGGCGTGTTGGAGTGTCTTATCCAATAAGTGTCTTACTGATTCCTCTCTCCCCCCTCTCTCATCTCCGCGCCCTGTATGACTGCACAGGCAGAGGGCATCACGAGCACACGGGACGTGTCAGGGGAGGGCGTGCAGCAGGCGCTTTTGAGGATGCTCGAGGGCGCTGTGAGTAAAGAAGGGGGGGGGGGAGGGAGGGTATGGGAGTATGTGAGGAGGTTGGAGGAGGCGGGATGGGAGGGACGTGTCAGGGGAGGGCGTGCAGCAGGCGCTGTTGAGAATGCTCGAGGGCGCTGTGAGTGGGGGGAAGGGGTGGGCTGTAAGGGGATATGATGTGAGCTGGTTTGAAGGACGGTGGGATGAGAGACACAGGTCTATTGGCGTTTGAGATGTGGCAGGGGAGGGCGTGCGGCCGCCGTTGTTGAGGATGCTGAGGGGCGCTGTGAGGGTGGTGTGAGCATCCATGAGCCCGTTTGTCACACGTGTGTGTCCCTCTACCTACTGGTGCGGAGCGGATCTTCTCACTCCCCCTGGGCCCTGGGTGCAGGTGATTGATGTGCCAGAGAAAACAGGGAGGAAGTCCTTCAGAGATTTAGGGCGCCTTGTAAGTCTCATGTGCCGGTCTTCCCCCTGCTCCTCCCCTCTTCTCCCGGGTACAGGTGATCAATGTGCCAGAGAAAACAGGGAGGAAGAATCCAAGAGGCGAGTTCATACAGGTACGGGCTACAGGGGTGCGGGAGTGCGAGGGTTGCAGGGGTGCAGGGGTACGGGGGTAGAACAACGATACCGGGTGTTTCTGTTTTGAGACGTCTCAAAACACTTCTTCAAACACGGAGTGCGAGGGTTGCAGGGGTGCAGGGGTACGGGGGTAGAACAACGATACCGGGTGTTTCTGTGCCGAATGCCTGGAAATCACAACGAATATCACACAGAGCGGAAAGGGTTTCTGCTCAATGGCTAGATACGTTTGAGGCGCATTCCAAGTCGGAGTGTGTTTGTTAGCATGGCTAGCGACCTTCATCCCCTTGGAATTTACCTCAACAGAGGTGAGGGTCGATGAAGAGTATGTCTACCACCTCTTATTCCAACTTTTGAGGCGCGTCAGGAGTTGTCTCCGTTCATGCTTACTGCCTGCCATTCCCCTCTCGCATACCTCCCCTTTCTTTGCCCCACCCATCCCACCAGGTTGACACACAAGACATACTCTTCATCAACCCTCACCTCTGTTGCTTGCCGTGCCAGCCATTCCCAGCCCAATACCCCCTTTCCCATACTTGACTTTGCCTTTCCCCTCCCAACCCACCAGCTGGACACACAGAACATTCTCTTCATCTGCCCTCCACTGCCGCTGCCTGCTATTCCCACCCCCACGCCCCAAGCCACATGCCCGATGCCCCATCCACCCCAATGCTTCCCCTTATCCCACCCCGCCAGCTGGACACACAGAACATTCTCTTCATCTGTGGAGGGGCATTCGTGGATCTGGAAAAGACGATTGCAGAGAGGTGAGGCGGAGGCTGCTTTTGCTGACTCAAAATGCACTCACTGATACGTCTGCTATCGTCAGGTTTTTGAGATTTCTCAAAACATTTGCTGACTCAAAATGCACTCACTGATACGTCTGCTATTGTCAGGTTTTTGAGAATTCCTTCAAAATTTGCTGACTCGAAATGCACTCACTGATACGTCTGCTGTCGTCAGTTATGACCTAAAAAAAAAAAATCGAAGAAAAGACAATCGCACTGAAGGTGCGCAACCATGGTTTTGGGGCAGGGAAAATGAAGCCACCGTTTCTCGCCTTTCAGTGCGATTGTCTTCGCCGCAGCAGTGTGTGCTACAACTGTGTATGCAGGCAATGTCAGGAATGCAGTCCCATCTTAACTACTTTGCCTACTCTGATGACCCACCCACATGTTAGAAACGACTTTCAATAATTGTCTGCAGTTTGACTCTAACATTGACTGCGGTTTGAATCGGTCTGATTGTCTGCAGTCAATGTTAGGAATGTATCTCCTGCCTTTCGTTGGCCGTGCTATGCTAGCCCTCAGAGCTCCTAAGCGCGCAACTCTGCAAGCACTGCAAGAACATACAATGTTGTCTTGACTGCATGTCTTGACTCTCTCTATTACCATTCATTTGTTGCAGGAAGCGCAAGTCATCAATCGGCTTCGGGGCCCCCGTGTGACATTGCTGCAATCATTGCAAGCAGACATGAGACTGACTGCATTCCATGACTCAAATCCCAATATTACCTTGCTGCGTGCAGGAAGCACAAGTCATCCATCGGCTTCGGGGCCCCCGTGCGCGCATCGCTGCGCAACCGATCGGTGCTTGACGCCCGCACTGCCGGCTCGCTGCTGCAATCGGTGAGTGCTAACTCTATACCGTTGGTTTGTTTGTTTGTTTTTTTGGTTGATTTGTTTGTTGGTTTGATTGTTTGGTTGGGTTTTGTTTTGTTTTGTTTTGTTTTGTCATTGTTTTAGCGCGTGTGCCAGCGATCCATGCTTGCAACACTTGCTGTGTGTGCTTGTGGGCGTGCTGCTTTTGAGAGCTGCTTTTCACTGTCCTATAAGCCACCTGCTGCAGTTGATGCGTGCTCTTCCTTCAACCATCCTTTCCCCGCCACCCCGCAAACCCCCTTCCCCCCTTTTTTTGTATCAACGGCTCGCAGAGAGCACTTTTGAGGCGCCTCAAAAGTTGTCTCTCTACCCGCAATTCCCGTATCTCCCCCCCCCCCCCCCCCCCCCCCCCCCGTCTTTTTTTGCTCATCAACTGCACTCAGAGAGCACAGATCGGGTAGCCTACAGGCTCGTCCCCGAGTTTGTGGGGCGATTCCTTGTGTTATTGTTATACCCCTCCAGATCCTCCCTCCCCATCGTTCAACATCCCTCCCCACCCGTCCCCACCCCTCCCTACCCCTCTGGAACGGCAGGCAGAGAGCACGGATCTGATAGCCTATGGGCTCATCCCTGAGTTTGTGGGGCGATTCCCCGTGCTGGTGGGGCTGCATGCGCTCACAGAGGAGCAACTCGTGCAGGTAATGACTGGTGCAGGTAATGACTGGTGCAGGTAATGACTGGTGCAGGTAATGACTGGTGCAGGTAATGACTGATGCAGGTAGTGACTTGTGCAGGTAATGACTGGTGCAGGTAGTGACTGGTGCAGGTAGTGACTGGTGCAGGTAATGACTGGTGCAGGTAATGACTGGTGCAGGTAGTGACTGGTGCAGGTAATGACTGGTGCAGGTAATGACTGGTGCAGGTAATGACTGGTGCAGGTAATGACTGATGCAGGTAGTGACTTGTGCAGGTAATGACTGGTGCAGGTAGTGACTGGTGCAGGTAATGACTGGTGCAGGTAATGACTGGTGCAGGTAATGACTGGTGCAGGTAGTGACTGGTGCAGGTAATGACTGGTGCAGGTAATGACTGGTGCAGGTAATGACTGGTGCAGGTAATGACTGGTGCAGGTAATGACTGGTGCAGGTAATGACTGGTGCAGGTAATGACTGGTGCAGGTAATGACTGGTGCAGGTAATGACTGGTGCAGGTAATGACTGGTGCAGGTAGTGACTGGTGCTGGTAATGACTGGTGCAGGTAGTGACTGGTGCAGGTAATGACTGGTGCAGGTAATGACTGGTGCTGGTAATGACTGGTGCAGGTAATGACTGGTGCGGGTAATGACTGGTGCGGGTAATGACTGGTGCGGGTAATGACTGGTGTGTGTAGGCTTTGGTAACAACAGCTGGTGCTCATGGGGCTGCGTGCTTTCACAAAAGAGCAACATGTGCAGGTAGGTGTAGTGCAGGTGGCAACTGGTGCAGGTGGCAACTGATGCAGGTGGAAGCAAAGGACCTTTCTTATGCACTTCGAATTATGTCTATATACAGAGCTGAGTGGCTTTCCTTGCATGATTCGACACGTATTTTGGTCCATCTTCTTTTCCTAATCCCTGCCCAGAAAATTTACGTTCTTAAAACCGGAGGGCCAAGAAGGCCCAAATTGCCTCAACCTTCCTAACCTTGGTTGAGTTTGGCCCTCGCACCCAAAATCTTGGCCAATTGTGTTGCTCGCTCCAACCAAGCTTCCTAAGGTTGAAGTTCTTGGCCCGCGGGTTGTAACCCCTGAAACACTACCCGATTCTTATCCCTCTCCCCACCCTCCTGCTCCTTCTCCGTACTCGTTCTCTCCTCTCGGTGTGGCTCTCACTTGCAGGTTCTCTTAAAGCCCAAGAACGCCCTCAGCAAGCAATTCGCCAAGCTATTGGCCATGAACAACGTGAGTGCAGTGTGGGCTGCTGGTTGTGGGTCACGAGCATTGTGTTTTCTATTGTATAAATAAGAAATCCAGACAGTTCTCGGTTAGCAAGCAAGTGCAATTTGCAAAGCTACAGGATGCAGAATAGCACTCAGTGTTGCCTTCTTCCTTGTCCTCATGCTCTCCCAATCCTCCCCTCCCCTCTTACTGAGGCCCGTCTGCACATGACAGAGGAGGCAGTGAGGGCCATTGCGTGGAGTACAGCACCCATTCTTGCCCTTTTCCATGACCTCGTGCCATCTCCATCTCATCTCTTCCTGCCCTCCCTTCCACTCCACCCACTCAGGCCCGCTTGCACATGACGGAGGGGGCAGTGAGGGCCATAGCGCGCAGAGCAGCAGCGCGAAACACGGGGGCCAGGGGGCTGCGATCGCTGCTGGAGGGGCTGCTCACCGAGGCTATGTACGAGGTATGGCGACTGCCGAGGCTATGTACGAGGTATGGCGACTGCCGAGGCTATGACGAGGTATGGTGGCTGCCAAGGCTGTGTATGAGGTATGATGATTACCGAGGCTATGTATGAGGTATGGCGGTTACTGAGCCTCTGTATGAGGTACAATGTAATAGATACAATACTCACCAGGCCTATGTACGGGGTACGGTGTAACAGGCTAACAAAAGGTACGGCGGTTACTAAGGCTGTGTATGAGGTACGTACAGCAGTTACCGAGGCACTGCTTGAGGTATGTACGGCAGTTACCAAGGCTGTGTATGAGGTACTGTGATCGCCAGTGGACCTTGGTATTGTTGTGAAGGCAATGTTGTTGGATGAGGTATCAGTGGGGGCTCGGAGGGGAGGTGGGGTTAACCTGCTCGCTGCTTTCCTCCATCCATCCCTCCATTCCGTCCTTCCCACCCCAACTCCCCAGGTCCCCAGCAATCTGGTGGAAGCAGTGGTGCTGGACGAGGCATCGATGGGGCACGAGGGGGAGGAAGGGGAAGAGGGCAAGCCGGTGTGCAACTGTGTCCTTGATCATTGCCCTCATTCCACGCCCATCCGTCATCTCATGCCCCAACCCACCAGGTCCCCAGCAGTCTAGTGAAGGCAGTTGTGTTGGACAAGGCATCGGTGGGGCACGAGGGGGAGGAGGGGGGCGACGGGGTAACCTGCACTCTGCCATCATCCATCCATCCCTCCTATCCCTGCTCTTCCAAGCCTGATCTTCCCGTCCCTGCCATCCCTGCCATCCCCACCAGGTCCCCAGCTCTCTGGTGGAAGCAGTGGTGCTGGACGAGGCATCGGTGGGGCACGAGGGGGAGGAGGGCGAGGACGGGGTACCGGGGGTGTGGGGCCCACATACTGCAAGGGGAGGGCTCGTGGGAGCGGTGGTTGCAGGATAACGAGGGGGGAGGAGAGAAGGCGGGAGGGAAGGGAGAGGAGGGCCAAGGGGGAGGAAGCAAGGGAGGCTCATCTGGGGGAGGTGGAAGTGATGAGGAATCGGATGCAGCTCCTGCTCTTGCCACAGCCACTGCAGCTTGATCTGCCTTGTCGTCTCCTGTCGAGCACCTGTCTACCACGCTTGGACTCTTCTCAGCTCCTGCACTTGCCACAGCCACTGCAGCTTGATCTGCCTTGTCGTCTCCTGTCGAGCACCTGTCTACCACGCTTGGACTCTGCTCAGCTCCTGCACTTGCCACAGCCACTGCAGCTTGATCTTGATCTGCCTTGTCGTCTCCTGTCGAGCACCTGTCTACCACGCTTGGACTCTGCTCAGCTCCTGCACTTGCCACAGCCACTGCAGCTTGATCCTGCCATGCCACCTGCATCTCCCATCCAGCATCTGTCTACTACCCCTTCTATTGTGGTGGACTGGGGGATGTCACCTGTGCTAGAGCGTGCTGCTAGGTATCGGTGTATCCTTGCCGCTCGGAAGGTGGGATTGCAGGATGTTTTCATCATCTGTGTGTATATGCCTCTCTCTTCTCTCTCGCTCGGAGTTCAAACAGTTTGTCTGCCTCCGATCGCATGTTTTCCTGCAAGTACTTGTACTGCATGTATGATATACGTTCAAAAAATCATGAAATTATTTGTGGTTTTTTCGAAGAAACTGCAAGAATGTATGTAACAAATCATGGCCGATTGAAAGCTTGACAAACAAAATGTTTATGACCAAATGATGATACAGTAGCACCGCTATAGCAAGTTAACTGTAGTACATGTCTGTTTATGTTAACGGCCTCTAACTGAAACTGGAAACTTCTACAGCGTGGTAATAGGTTGGAAGTTGGTGGCGGGTGGTTCGGAAGGCAGCGTTTGCTGGTGTATCGATAGTTTCAACTCAGGTGAGTAGCGGTTCAAAGCGATGAGGCATTACAAAATATATTCAATTTTAAAATCTGTCGTCACAAGTTCTAAACCACTTCAGAACTCCAACATCACGGCCCTTAGGGCGTGTCTCTTTATATTTTCTGCAATTTTCCGGACGGTTCTCTTTTTTGGTACTGGACAGTCCAAATAGCGAGGAGCCGACTGTCCGAATTGCCATTTCGGAACTTTCCCCCGTCCAGATGCAATTCTGTCACTTTTTCATGGACCATGAACTCACGAAGTACTGTAGCTTCGTAATGGGCACTGTATCGTCGTTACACAGGTCGCGACATTTTCTCCGCAAAATTGTGCGCCAATCGATTCCGTTTAGGAAAAAAAAAACTCGCGAGCCAATATTTAGTCAGTACTGCTGCACCGTCCGTTTGCTTTTCGAGCTGCGGAAGGTTCAAATTCTGAACCGCTGGGAGGAGGGAAAAGTGACGCGACAGTTCGTACCGTTGGCGACTTCGCAAGTACTATCACGAAATCGATTACGAACTCTGCGAAACCGGTAATTGTTTCGCAGTTCGGACCGTCCACGGCTCGAACCGTCGAGGGAAAAAAAGAGACACGCCCTTAGCTGGACGTAGTATTTCTAGTGACGTGGGTTTCCAGAAGCCCTCATTGACCACGTCCCACATTAACTCCGCTATCATTACGAGTACAGGCCACGACAAACAGACCAGCAAATATTTAGATACTGAAGACTTCGCAAGGCAGCCAATGAGATAGTGAGATTCATTCCTCTTAATCTCACTCTTTGACCATGCATTCGTTCAGGAATCATGGGCCGACGAAAACGGATCACCGAGGCGCAGCGGGTAACCAGCCGGCGAAATTAGATCTTGCGATCCCGGCGAAATTAGATAGTGCGATCCCAGCGATCCTCCCGTGGCACGTGCTGCTCGTTCTCTTCGTCACCGTGCAGGCCTACTCGCTCCGCACGCTAGTCGTGTATCCGCCGTCCATTTTCTCCGCATCCGACGGTTACCAGCAGCACCAACAGCAGCAGCAGCAGCGCAGCCGCAGCAACAGCAGCATCAGGAGCGCGAATGGTCGGAGCGCGCCGAGCCCGTTTCCGCGGCGGAGCAGGCGAAACTGGGATTGGAAGGTCCTCGAACGGGGAGGCGGGGAGGAGCGACGGTGGATCAGAGCGGAGCGATGCGATGGGGTCGCGGGGAAGGTGGGGAAGGGTGGGGAGGATGGGGAGGATGGGGAAAGGTGGGGAGGATGGGAAGGGTGGGGGAGGTGGGGAGGGAGTGGAAGGTGGGGAGGGTGGGAAATGTACGCTGCTCTCACTCCCTTCCCTTCCACCCGTTCTCCATGTGTATGGATTCTTGACTTGTCGCTATGCCATTCGCCTTCCAAGTCGTCTCAATACGCTATTTCCTGGTACATTCAAAACAATGCTCTGACATTTGGTCCTGTCTCCGCCTCCCCGTCCCCTTTCACACCCCCCTCCCCCCCCCACCCCCCTGCCTTTCTCCGCCACTTCCCCCTGCCTCTCACGCCCCCCTGCTTTCCACCCTCACTCCCCCCTTCTCCGCATTTCCCACAAAACAAATGTCAATTGTGTCTCCACCTCCTCTCACCTTTCCACCTGCCCCCAGACACCTCCTCTCAGACCCCGGGCAGAAAAAAAAAGAAGGGAGTCACAACAGCAGAGGACGTCGAGTTCTTTCTGCGCCGCCGCTTCCCCTCCTGCAAGCTGGAATACATCGGCGGGCAGCCCGGGCAGGCGAAAGAAAAAGGCGAGGGAATCGTGTGGCCCGTATGTTCTGACCACCTGAGGCCAAGAGGAGTCGTGTACTCGTTTGGAGTGGGCCCGAACCTTCTGTTTGAAGGCGAAATGACCTTGCGGGGACAGCAGGTGAGGGGAGGAGGTGGGGTGGGGTGGAAGTGGGTGGTAAGAGGGGGTGGGCGGGGAATGTGAGAGAATGAGGTTGAACCTTCTGTTTGAAGGCGAAATGACCTTGAGAGGACAGCAGGTGAGCAGGGGTTGTGTAAGATGGAAGGGGTATTGTGTGGTGTGATTGGATTACCTGCGTCCAAGAGGGCCCACTCGTTTGGTGTGGGCCCGAACCTTCACATTTGAATGTGAATGTACCTTGAGAGGACAGCAGGGGAGGCAGGGGTTGTGTAAGATGGGGAGGGGTATTGTGTGGTGTGATTGGAATACCTGGCGTCCAAACAGAGGGCCCACTCGGTTGGTGTGGGCCCGAAACCTTCACATTTGAATGCGAAAGGCGTCAACAGTGCCGCTTTCTCATTGCCACAATCCAATCGTTTCCCGTCCCCCCTCCCTCGTCCAGGTGTTTGTGTTCCGACCCTTTCGTCAACGACACCGCCTTTGCCTCCATGCTGCAACCCATCAAGGGCCTCTCCCCCCGCCGCTCCCCCCAAGTTCCGCCCCTTTGCCCTCGGGCCTCGAGACGGGGTCGCCCTCTTCCACCCCATTCCCACTTCCTCCTCTTCCTCCTC